ACTTTTTCCAGTTTGGTCTTATGCTTGACTAGATATGGACTTCATGCTGGGGCTGTATACTCCAGGATTGGTCTGACATGGGTGGTATACAAAGTTCTGAATGATTCCTTGCACAAGTGTCTAAATGCCATTCTTATGTTAGCCAACCTGGCATATGCTGCTGATGTTATCCTCTTGATATGGGCTTCAGGGGACAGGTATGGCGTGATATCAACCCCCAGGTCTTTCTCTCTCTCTCTGACTCTTGAAGAATTTCATCTCCCAAATGATACCTTGTAACTGGCCTCCTGCTCCCTACACCTATCTTCATTACGTTACATTTGCTTGGGTTAAACTCTAACAACCATTTGTTCGACCAGTCATTCCTTTAGTTTGAAGCCTCAAGCAGTCCTCTATCTTAATCCTTCTCATAATTTTGGCATCGTCAGCCAACATTGAGAGGAATGAGTCTATACCCTCCGGGAGATCGGTTACGTATATCAGAAATAGGACCGAGAGCCCTGCGGGACTTCACTGGTGACTTCACACACACACACGCCAATCTGATGTGTGTGTGTGTGTGTGTGTGTGTGTGTGTGTGTGTGTGTGTGCGTGCGTGTGTGTGTGTGTGTGTGTGTGTGTGTGTGTGTGTGTGTGTGTGTGTGTGTGTGTGTGTGTGTGTGTGTGTGTGTGTGTGTGTGTGTGTGTGTGCGTGCATAAGTGCTGATCATTCCGTCAAGTGGATTCATTCATATCATCTAAATCAACAAAACGTGTGAACGGCTCTTTTCACAGACTGAAGCTGATATCCTCTGCCCCTGATGGCCAGATAAGTCTTTCCCACTCTCCAGCTCTCCCGCTCTCTCCCTGCCACCTTATGAGAGCCGTTCATTTGACAGTGCAGCCAATTACGTTATCACAGCACACAACTGGCTTTGAGGTGGCGTCCGGTGTTGGGGTGATCCCTCGACTCTCGACTTGCTATGTTAAGCCGTCCCCGCTGCGTCACCTTGGCGGGTCGTGGTCGCTTGTGTCTGCTTACATACATGTTATGTACTTATGCAAGTACTTACGTACTTGCTCTTCAAATAAAAAGTGGAGGTGGCTTTCGTCTGTTTAATAAAATAATAATAACAATACTACTACTACAACTAATAATAATAATAATAATAACAATAATACGTTATTTATAAAAGTGTATAAATAAAGTGGAGTCAAAGAACATAAGAGAGAAGTACACGTGTAGTAGAGGGGTGGCACATAGAACTTGTATCTTATATGTTGTGAGCATTACTACTCCAAGCTGTGTACTTGTCTGCTCTGGTATTGTTAGGAGCTCCCTTAATTATCTCCGCCTTGTGGCAAATACAAATACAAATTTTTATTCAGGTAAAGTAATTTTTCGGAATTTAAGTAAAATTTAAAATTTTAAAAGTTAAAAAAAAGCTAAAAAGTTAAAAAGAAAAGTAAAATTTCGGAACTTTATGGGTCCTATGATCACGAGGCTTGTATTCCATGCTCGAGCTGATTATTCTTTATATGTGTAATTACCTAAGTGTAGTTACAGGATGAGAGCTGTGCTCGTGGTGTCCCGTCTTTCCAGTACTCTTTGTCATATAACACCTTGAAACTACTGACGGCTTGTGAGTACTCACCTAGTTGTGCTTACGGGGATTGAGCTTCTGCTCCTTGGTCCCGCCTCTTAACTGTCAATCGACTGATGTACAGGTTCCTGAGCCTACTGGGCTCTATCATATTTACAGTTGAAACTGTGTAAGGAGTCAGCCTCCACCACATCACTTCCTAAAGCATTCCATTCGTTAACTACTCTGAAGACTGTGTGTGTTTGTGTATTTACTATTTGTGTCTGCAGAGTTCAATCCCCGCAAGCACAACTTGGTCAGTACAACTAGATGAGTACACACATAGAGGCCTCGCGGCTGAGTGGACAGCGCTCAGGTTCCATTCCCGGTGGAGGCGCAAACAAATGGGCAGTTTCTTTCACCCAGTTGTTGTGTCAGTGATTATACCAGATGCAAGGGGAGCGGTTATGTTTGTCCATAAGTGATCCAAGGTGGTACCGGATGTTTGAGTGATTCCGGTGGGCTTGGTGATTGTGGGGATTAGCATACAGGAGTTCATGCTGCTGTACATACAACATACGCCGGTCACCCACATACAACTTACGCCACACACCCGCATACAACATACGCCGTACACCCGCATACAACATACACCCTACACCCACATACACCCTACACCCACATACAACATACGTCCTACACCTGCGTACAACATACGCCGTACACCCACATACAACATAGTGCTTTAAAAGCATCCTTATCGAGATTTTTGTGTTTGGACTTCCTGTGTCAGAGAGGATCACTAGAGACGGCGACACAGGTTAATTCAGACAAGATACTATCTTGGTGAATGTCATAACCACTCTCTTACGTGGTATCAAACTATGTGCCTCGGTAACCCTTTCCACTACCGTCCACAGGATGGGTATGGGGTGCATAATAACCGAACTAATAACGTTATATTCAGTGTACGCTTTGTGGCTGCTACCCCGCGGTCCCTCAGGCAGTTAGTACCAGACTAACGCCACCTGTCAGGCCGAGCTGAGCCAGTGGCATCTGTTGTACGCCAGCCAGTCATAAGTTAGCGATGTCATTTTAAGAGATTGTAGTTTAAGGGATGTAGAGTGTAAGTGATGGAGGGTGTAAGGGCTGTAGAGTGTAAGGGATGCAGGTTATATTTAAGGGATGTACAGGGTGTAATAGTAGCATATTGTTGAAGTATACTTTTGGTTATATCTTCATCGGTTGCACGTATAGACTCCCAGAGACACTTATAACCTATAGTCGCTTCCCAGGACAAAAATATTAATTATATCTATGTTGCTTTGAGTACATGAACCATAGATGCTATGTATGGTTTATTTAACAAGGTAGCGTGACATTAGTAACAACGGATGTATCAATGGCACTCGTATAACTTTTATATAGTTATTGTGAAGCTTTTAACGCAATAGTCTTCAAGTAATGATAAAAAGCCTGTTAGAATAGCATCTAGCACTCATGCAGTTTTCAAGCTTATTAGAGGCACTCGAACGGCATAATCACCTCTTTCACTGAGAGCATAAGTTCTGGCTAATTCATCTGCTCTATCATGCACTTGAAGGCAGATATGAGATGAAATTCATATGAAGTAGACACCAACAGCATATTTATCGATAGTGATACGTGCGTGTGCTAGGCTGCAGACACAAGCATGCTGCTGTCATTGTCCTGGAGAATTTCAAGTATGTAATAGTGACCGAGTTGTTTACAAATGTGACAGTATGTATATATTTAAGTGCAGAAAGAATGACAGACGTGCCTAAAGGGTGTGATATCCGATTAATATCATACTGGTCACTCTCTTATTATAGTATTTACATTGACAGTGATACAAGATTATATACATAATCAAGAGAAATATGCAAAAAACATTACTGGATTGTGAAGCAGTGTATGCCATATTCCAGTTGAGTATGCCGCTCCGACGGTGTATGCTACGTCTACAGATGTGCATGCCATACTACAGGGGTGTATGCCACACACTACAGTGGTGTATGCCACACACTCCAGCGGTGTATGCCACACACTCCAGCGGTGTATACCACACACTCCAGTGGTGTATGCCACACACTACAGCGGTGTATGCCACACACTCCAGCGGTGTATGCCACACACTACAGCGGTGTATGCCACACACTCCAGCGGTGTATACCACACACTCCAGTGGTGTATGCCACACACTACAGCGGTGTATGCCACACACTCCAGCGGTGTATACCACACACTCCAGTGGTGTATGCCACACACTCCAGTGGTGTATGCCACACACTCCAGTGGTGTATGCCACACACTCTAGTGGTGTATGCCACACACTCCAGTGGTGTATGCCACCCCCAGTGTGTATGCCACACCCGGGGTGTATGCCACTCTCCAGTGGTGTATGCCACCCCCCAGTGGTGTATGCCACCCCCCAGTGGTGTATGCCACTCTCCAGTGGTTTATGCCACCCCCCAGTGGTGTATGCCACCCCCCAGTGGTGTATGCCACACCCGTGGTGTATGCCACTCTCCAGTGGTGTATGCCACTCTCCAGTGGTGTATGCCACCCCCCAGTGGTGTATGCCACTATGCCACTCTCCAGTGGTGTATGCCACACCCGTGGTGTATGCCACTCTCCAGTGGTGTATGCCACCCCAGTGGTGTATGCCACTCTCCAGTGGTGTATGCCACTCTCCAGTGGTGTATGCCACTCTCCAGTGGTGTATGCCACTCTCCAGTGGTGTATGCCACCACCCCAGTGGTGTATGCCACTCTCCAGTGGTGTATGCCACCCCCCCAGTGGTGTATGCCACCCCCCAGTGGTGTATGCCACCCCCCAGTGGTGTATGCCACACCCGTGGTGTATGCCACCCCCCAGTGGTGTATGCCACCCCCCAGTGGTGTATGCCACCCCCCAGTGGTGTATGCCACTCTCCAGTGGTGTATGCCACTATCCAGTGGTGTATGCCACTCTCCAGTGGTGTATGCCACTCTCCAGTGGTGTATGCCACACCCGTGGTGTATGCCACTCTCCAGTGGTGTATGCCACTATCTTCCATCCTCTGGTGGCTGTATCGACTGCTGGCCTCCCCAGGTCTGCCAACCACAGGATCCTCATCTCAATCTTAATATTGAATTTGCCAAATCTTGAGCAGCTGAAATTAAGGCAATAAAATATTGATTTCCAAATATAAATATCCTTATTAAAATATATTATATATTCAAACTCGAAAATATAAAAATAATCACGTAAATGTCTCTCGAAATAAATTAACGGAGAAAATAAATCCCATGTGATATATATTTCAGAGTTGATCCAAATTCGTGATATATAGTTTATTTTTGTTATATTTGCGTTGTTTATTGTAGTAAAGAGATGGTGGAGTTTGAGGGGGGATGAGGCTGGTGGGGAGAGGTCGGGCGGGTTGGCAGGCGTGGAGAGCTCGCCATATTTCCCTGGTGCACCCCACCCAAGTGTCGAGTTTTCGCTTGAATGGCTGAGGGTCAACAGTGGCCCGAGGTGGTCATAAACTGTCAAACTGGAACTAATGGAATTAGAAAACATTGTAGCCAACACAGTGTACTTGAAAGCAAGGGAAGGTAAGGCGCTACTGGGAAGGGTTAGCAATGGCAGCGACCGAGGAGCTGCTGCTGCTGCTGGTGCTGGTGGAGTGTTAACGTCCGCTCCGGGCTCTTCTCAGCCTCCCGCTCCAATGCTCGCATTCCTCGCTTCTCCAGCAGTCTCCGACCTTGTGGGGCTTAGGCTTTCCCCCGGCCGCGGCCACCAGTGCCCCATCTGAGCGGCCACACAGCCTAGGAGGCTCGCAGACCTGTGTCAATTAGTTCGTGGCAGAGGGCGAGGGCAGCGGAAATTGTCCAAGATTGGCAGAGCGTGTACCTGAGGGTCAGGAGGAGGGGCGTGTTACTGGCGTGTGGGCGGCCCTCTACACCCCAGGGGTAGTTGGGGCGGCCCTTTACACCCCAGGGGTAGTTGGGGCGGCCCTCTACACCCCAGGGGTAGTTGGGGCGGCCCTCTACACCCCAGGGGTAGTTGGGGCGGCCCTCTACACCCCAGGGGTAGTTGGGGCGGCCCTTTACACCCCAGGGGTAGTTGGGGCGGCCCTTTACACCCCAGGGGTAGATGGGGGCGGCCCTCTACAACCCAGGGGTAGATGGGGGTGGCCCTCCACACCCCAGGGGTAGATGGGGGTGGCCCTCCACACCCCAGGGGTAGATGGGGGTGGCCCACTACATCCCATGGGTAGATGGGGGTGGCCCACTACATCCCATGGGTAGATGGGGGTGGCCCTCCACACCCCAGGGGTAGATGGGGGTGGCCCTCTACACCCCAGGGGTAGATGGGGGTGGCCCTCTACACCCCAGGGGTAGATGGGGGTGGCCCACTACATCCCATGGGTAGATGGGGGTGGCCCACTACATCCCATGGGTAGATGGGGGCGGCCCTGTACACCCCAGGGGTAGATGGGGGCGGCCCTGTACACCCCAGGGGTAGATGGGGGCGGCCCTGTACACCCCAGGGGTAGATGGGGGCAGCCCTGTACACCCCAGGGGTAGATGGGGGCGGCCCTGTACACCCCAGGGGTAGATGGGGGTGGCCCTCTACACCCCAGGGGTAGATGGGGGTGGCCCTCTACACCCCAGGGGTAGATGGGGGTGGCCCTCTACACCCCAGGGGTAGATGGGGCGGCCCACTACACCCCAGGGGTAGATGGGAGCGACCCACTACACCCCAGGGGTAGATGGGGGCAGCCCTCTACACCCGAGGGGTAGATGGGGTGGCCCTCTACACCCCAGGGGTAGATGGGGTGGCCCTCTACACCCCAGGGGTAGATGGGGGCTTGTTATTGGGGGCTGGTTGGTGGCTGCCATACGGGCCGGGCCCCCTTGACACTTGCGTGGCAGAAGTCTATGTACATCCTTACAATATTGGGTGTTTGACAAGTGTAAGGTTAGACATGTACAGTGACAGGTGCAGTGTGTGTGATGTACAGTGTGACAGGTGCAGTGTGTGATGTACAGTGTGACAGGTGCAGTGTGTGATGTACAGTGTGACAGGTGCAGTGTGTGTGATGTACAGTGTGACAGGTGCAGTGTGTGTGATGTACAGTGTGACAGGTGCAGTGTGTGTGATGTACAGTGTGACAGGTGCAGTGTGTGTGATGTACAGTGTGACAGGTGCAGTGTGTGTGATGTACAGTGTGACAGGTGCAGTGTGTGTGATGTACAGTGTGACAGGTGCAGTGTGTGATGTACAGTGTGACAGGTGTAGTGTGTGATGTACAGAGTGACAGGTGCAGTGTGTGTGATGTACAGTGTGACAGGTGCAGTGTGTGTGATGTACAGTGTGACAGGTGCAGTGTGTGTGATGTACAGTGTGACAGGTGCAGTGTGTGTGATGTACAGTGTGACAGGTGCAGTGTGTGTGATGTACAGTGTGACAGGTGCAGTGTGTGTGATGTACAGTGTGACAGGTGCAGTGTGTGTGATGTACAGTGTGACAGGTGCAGTGTGTGTGATGTACAGTGTGACAGGTGCAGTGTGTGTGATGTACAGTGTGACAGGTGCAGTGTGTGTGATGTACAGTGTGACAGGTGCAGTGTGTGTGATGTACAGTGTGACAGGTGCAGTGTGTGTGATGTACAGTGTGACAGGTGCAGTGTGTGTGATGTACAGTGTGACAGGTGCAGTGTGTGTGATGTACAGTGTGACAGGTGCAGTGTGTGTGATGTACAGTGTGACAGGTGCAGTGTGTGTGATGTACAGTGTGACAGGTGCAGTGTGTGTGATGTACAGTGTGACAGGTGCAGTGTGTGTGATGTACAGTGTGACAGGTGCAGTGTGTGTGATGTACAGTGTGACAGGTGCAGTGTGTGTGATGTACAGTGTGACAGGTGCAGTGTGTGTGATGTACAGTGTGACAGGTGCAGTGTGTGATGTACAGTGTGACAGGTGCCATGTGTGATGTAGTGTGACAGGTGCAGTGTGTGATGTAGTGTGACAGGTGAAGTGTGTGATGTACAGTGTGACAGGTGCCGTGTGTGATGTACAGTGTGACAGGTGCCGTGTGTGATGTACAGTGTGACAGGTGCCGTGTGTGATGTACAGTGTGACAGGTGCCGTGTGTGATGTACAGTGTGACAGGTGCAGTGTGTGATGTACAGTGTGACAGGTGAAGTGTGTGATGTACAGTGTGACAGGTGCCATGTGTGATGTAGTGTGACAGGTGCCATGAGTGATGTACAGTGTGACAGGTGCCATGTGTGATGTACAGTGTGACAGGTGCAGTGTGTGATGTACAGTGTGACAGGTGCAGTGTGTGTGATGTACAGTGTGACAGGCGAAGTGTGTGATGTACAATGTGTCAGGTGTCGTGTGTGATGTACAATGTGTCAGGTGTCGTGTGTGTGATGTACAGTGTGACAGGTGCAGTGTGTGTGTGATGTAGTGTGACAGGTGCCATGTGTGATGTACAGTGTGACAGGTGCAGTGTGTGTGTGATGTACAGTGTGACAGGTGCCATGTGTGATGTACAGTGTGACAGGTGCAGTGTGTGATGTAGTGTGACAGGTGCAGTGTGTGATGTAGTGTGACAGGTGTAGTGTGTGATGTACAGTGTGACAGGTGTAGTGTGTGATGTAGAGTGTGACAGGTGAAGTGTGTGATGTACAGTGTGACAGGTGCCGTGTGTGATGTAGTGTGACAGGTGCCATGTGTGATGTACAGTGTGACAGGTGCAGTGTGTGATGTACAGTGTGACAGGTGCAGTGTGTGTAATGTACAGTGTGACAGGTGAAGTGTGTGATGTACAATGTGTCAGGTGTCGTGTGTGATGTACAATGTGACCGGTGAGGTGTGTGATGTAGTGTGACAGGTGCCATGTGTGATGTACAGTGTGACAGGTGCCATGTGTGATGTACAGTGTGACAGGTGCAGTGTGTGTGTGATGTACAGTGTGACAGGTGCAGTGTGTGATGTACAGTGTGACAGGTGCAGTGTGTGATGTACAGTGTGACAGGTGCAGTGTGTGATGTACAGTGTGACAGGTGCCATGTGTGATGTACAGTGTGACAGGTGCAGTGTGTGTGATGTACAGTGTGACAGGTGCAGTGTGTGTGATGTACAGTGTGACAGGTGCAGTGTGTGTGATGTACAGTGTGACAGGTGTAGTGTGTGATGTACAGTGTGACAGGTGCAGTGTGTGTGATGTGCAGTGTGACAGGTGTAGTGTGTGATGTACAGTGTGACAGGTGTAGTGTGTGATGTACAGTGTGACAGGTGCAGTGTGTGATGTACAGTGTGACAGGTGCAGTGTGTGATGTACAGTGTGACAGGTGCCATGTGTGATGTACAGTGTGACAGGTGCAGTGTGTGATGTAGTGTGACAGGTGCAGTGTGTGATGTAGTGTGACAGGTGAAGTGTGTGATGTACAGTGTGACAGGTGCCGTGTGTGATGTACAGTGTGACAGGTGCCGTGTGTGATGTACAGTGTGACAGGTGCCGTGTGTGATGTACAGTGTGACAGGTGCCGTGTGTGATGTACAGTGTGACAGGTGAAGTGTGTGATGTACAGTGTGACAGGTGCCATGTGTGATGTAGTGTGACAGGTGCCATGTGTGATGTACAGTGTGACAGGTGCAGTGTGTGATGTACAGTGTGACAGGTGCAGTGTGTGTGATGTACAGTGTGACAGGCGAAGTGTGTGATGTACAATGTGTCAGGTGTCGTGTGTGATGTACAATGTGTCAGGTGTCGTGTGTGTGATGTACAGTGTGACAGGTGCAGTGTGTGTGTGATGTAGTGTGACAGGTGCCATGTGTGATGTACAGTGTGACAGGTGCAGTGTGTGTGTGATGTACAGTGTGACAGGTGCCGTGTGTGTGTGATGTACAGTGTGACAGGTGCCGTGTGTGATGTACAGTGTGACAGGTGCCGTGTGTGATGTACAGTGTGACAGGTGCCGTGTGTGTGTGATGTACAGTGTGACAGGTGCCGTGTGTGTGTGATGTACAGTGTGACAGGTGCCGTGTGTGTGTGATGTACAGTGTGACAGGTGCCGTGTGTGTGTGATGTACAGTGTGACTGGTGCCGTGTGTGTGTGATGTACAGTGTGACAGGTGCCGTGTGTGTGTGATGTACAGTGTGACAGGTGCCGTGTGTGTGTGATGTACAGTGTGACAGGTGCCGTGTGTGATGTACAGTGTGCCAGGTGCAGTGTGTGTGTGATGTACAGTGTGACAGGTGCCGTGTGTGTGTGATGTACAGTGTGACAGGTGCCGTGTGTGTGTGTGATGTACAGTGTGACAGGTGCCGTGTGTGTGTGTGATGTACAGTGTGACAGGTGCCGTGTGTGTGTGATGTACAGTGTGACAGGTGCCGTGTGTGTGTGATGTACAGTGTGACAGGTGCCGTGTGTGTGTGATGTACAGTGTGACAGGTGCCGTGTGTGATGTACAGTGTGTCAGGTGCATGTGTGATGTACAGTGTGAGAGGTACAACATGTGAGGTGCAGTTTGTCTTTGTCCACTCAGTCAATTGCCCTGAGAATTTTGTAGGTGGTTATCATGTCTCCCGTTACTCT